TTTATGGTTGGGTCACAACATGAGGAACTGTATTTAAAGGGCCAGAAGGTTGAGAACCACTGTCTAAGGCAGTGATGGCGAACCTATGACACGCTTGTCAGAGGTGACACGCGAACTCATTTTTTTTGGTTGATTTTTCTTTGTTAAATGGCATTTAAATATATAAAATAAATATCAAAAATATAAGTCTTTGTTTTACTATGGTTGCAAATATCAAAAAATTTCTATATGTGACACGGCACCAGAGTTAAGTTATAGGGTTTTTAAATGCTGACACGCCGAGCTCAAAAGGTTCGCCATCACTGGTATAGGAAGGAAGTGGGTGGTTTATTGGAGGGATTGGTCCTTTTTTTTTTTTTTAATCCACTTTACCATCTGGTGCCTTCATTGGCTTTTAAACCGAGTATTAGTCTTACAGGATTTTCTTTTTATACTCCCCCTCTTTGCATGCTTTGCTTTGGTTTTGACTGGGAGAAGCAAGGCACAGAATGAAAGATACATTTCCAAAGTTTGTGTCCGGCTTCTGAGTAAAAATCGGTACCATCTTCTTTCCTTCCCGTGCTTTAGCTCAGGTGCAGATCGAGGGAGATTTCCTGGCGTGCTCCTTCTCGATACTTGAGGAGCAGCCCATGGACATGCTTCTGGGCCTGGACATGCTGAAACGACATCAGGTACTCAGAGCTTCACTTGCCTTTGCATTGGCCTTTTGTGTGTTATGTGGTTATTCCTGCATCATTCCTCTTGGCCATGTGCACTGGAAAACTAAGAAGCACAGCTCTTCGAACCTGGAAAGGTCTTTAATTGATGACGATGTCATACAGGTTTGAAATGATGTGTAAGTAGAAATAGCATCTTTTGTGAAATCTCTCTGAATTTTAAACACATTTCGGACCAGTAGTTTTATTGCTAGCTTTACCCAGTGGCCAGATAAGTTTCTACTGAACGAGTACAAAAAACGTTTCATATAAATGTTAAAGGCACACTTTAAAATTAAATATCCATTGCATTTTTGAAGTTATTTATTACATGTTCTTACAAGCTAATATCTTTTTAAAGTGTCATACTTTGTAAAACACTGTGTAATATGAAGCGAGAATTCTCGTGATCCGTCCGCAATGTGTTAAATCCATCTGTTTTGAGATTAAATGGGCATTGGTTCCCTTGTGTAATGTTTAGTTTCTGATTAGAACTCAAGTAATTTTTTGATTGGTTTGTAGGGAAGTGTGAGTAACGCACAGTGATGGTTTTATGCAAATGCGAGTTTAGCAAGTTCCTTAGTATCTGGTCAAACTATACTTGGGAAGAAGAGCTTTAGGATTAAGGGAGAAGCCCATAGCTGTTGGGAATAGAAATGTTTATTTAGTACAGAGAGAATGATTTATCACTATATTCATTCGCGGTGGTATTTATATTTCTACTCCAAAGCCTAATAATTTGTTTAAAGATAAACAACTCTCAGTGAAGAAGCAATTAGTGTCCACTGGGTAGTAAAATTGTTCACAACAAGGTTTTATATCTAGCCAATATTTTTATGTCACTAATACTCTTTAAAATTCTTTTAATACTGAATTTCAGTGCGTAGACTTTTAAGTAGAAGGAATGAGTGAATGCATGTATAAATAAAACCTATTTTATTGTCACTGCCTTTCCTTATTTTTTAGTTATGGTATAGACCCGTGGTCAGCAAACCGCGGCTCGTGAGCCACATGCGGCTCTTTGGCCCCTTCAGTGTGGCTCTTCCACAAAATACCACGTGCGGGTGCGCACGTACAGTGCGATTGAAACTCCGTGACCCATGGGCAGAAGTCGGTATTTTGTGGAAGAGCCGCATGTGGCTCGCGAGCCGCAGTTTGCCGACTACTGGTATAGACCATGGTATCTTCAATTATAAATATAAAGCATATATGTATGCAATTGTCCTATATTAATTAATTTAAAAATACACAAAGAATGAAATAAAGTATAGTTTTATAGATTGCCTTGCCTTTATACCACTTTTGAGACCATTAGTACAGAGTTTAAATATAAGCTGTATGTATACAAAAAACAAAATGTAAAACTGTATGAATGATATGTCTGTTTTATTTTTAAAAGTCACATGTTTGTAAAAGGTGGAGGCATTGATTATGCCTGGCAATCTCCCAAATTTAGCACAATGAACATGTATTATATTTAAACTTAGACATGAATACTAGTATACATTGTGTTCAACAAATAAGTGTGAACTGTATTTTGTAGAGATTATTCTGCTATAAACTTCATTAAACAAATTCTAAATTAACAGTGTCACCTAGGTTAAAGTTTAAAAGCTTTTAGGCAAAGTTGTTTGGAACCATCTCTGTCTCTGTCCATGTCGCTCTTTGTGAATGAGTTTTAAATTCGGGATCATAATTTTCCTGCATGGTGTTTCATCTGCCATCATCAGTCTTTGCTTTCTTCCTTCTAAGTGTTCCATTGACCTCAAGAAAAATGTACTCGTGATCGGCACCACAGGCTCACAGACCACCTTCCTCCCCGAGGCAGAGCTACCAGAGTGTGCCCGGTTGGCATATGGGGCCGGGCGGGAGGAGGTGCTCCGGCCGGAGGAGATTGCAGACCGAGAATTAGCAGAAGCCCTTCAGAAATCTGTACAGGATGCAGGTATTTGCAGTGCTGGGCTCTTGAATACCTAACTTTTTATTGGTGGGTGAGCAAGGAAGTTGAGCTTTAGAGGGTAGGAACCTTTCCAGGTCGTGATCGATCTCATCGTCCTGTCAGATGTGTTTCTGTCCTCTTACCACCTTCTTCTGTCTCTCAGCACAACAGAGAAAACTTGGTGTTTCCAGGGTCAAGAAACAGCAATCCACTGCTGTGTGCAAGACAGAGTGGGAGCTGTTTGCTTAGGCACATTTTGGTAGGCTTCCTGAAAAGTCTTGTCTTTTTTCCTAAAGAAAATTGTAACAGTAAGAGACACTTCCTTTTGAGTCCAACAGTATTTCCCTGAAAATTTCTTTTCCTTTTCGTAGGCCCATTTATTTTGAACAGTGACTAAGCAGCCCAAACCATTTTTTATCGACCAAGTGCTGCCACCAGAGGAACCAACAATAAGAAGCATCATTGAACGTTAGTCAATATACAGGATTATGCTGTTAATAGGTCACAGTAGTGAGCCAGTTAGAACAGGATGTGAGCAATTGAAATGAAGCTACCTATATGTGTGTTTTTTCCTAAGTCTGAATTGTTGTAGCCCATTTCAATCTAAAGTCCAAGCCAAGTTTCTGGGTAAAATGGAGGGGCATGGTTTTGCTGAATCCCATGGGTACAGAACAGTGACTCGGGTGCATTTTCTAGAAGCTGAAGAGAATTAACTTTTAACTTTGGGTTATTTTAAAGTCTTGAGTTGTCATTATTCATCAGTGACTAGTATCACATGTTGCATTTTTCGATATGGTAAAGTGTATTGGATCTACAAGTTCAGGGACTAGCTTTCTTCTAAAGACAAAAAAGATAAGAGCTTTAAAAGTAAGCAGCCAGATTTTGCCAGTGTCTGTTACTGGAGAACACCCAGTGCGTCAGCTTTGAACCCCCCTCGAATGGACATGGGTAGCAGATGGAGACTTCTGAGGTGGTCTGTTCGCAGTCTACTCCACTACCCTATAGTTCGGATTTACTACAAGCTACAGTTTTAAATGTGACTTAAGTATTTTATAGGAAAGGGAGAATTTTGAGCAACCAAACAAAGGAGAAAAAATTCAGTTTTGTTTTACTTTGTTTTGTTTTTATCCTCACACAAGGAAATGTTTTTATTAATTTGAGAGAGAGTGAGAGAAATCAATGTGAAAGTGAAACATTGATCAGTTGTGTCCCCTTTGCACCCCTACCGGGGAATTAAACCCGAGACCTGAGTATGTGCCCTGATCCAGAATCGAACCCACACAACCTTTTGTTGTACAGGATGACAGTAACCAACTAGGCCACCCAGCCAGGGCAAATTCAATTTCAGTCTTACCCGCAAGGCAAGATTGAAGGAGATTGACATACCTACTTAGAATGTTTCACATTTTCTTAGTAACTTGTCAGCTTAGTCATAATACTCTGTATTAGTAAAATAGAATATATTATCATTTTGTGAAATCTCTACTTTCCCCCCACGGTTTTGGTGCTTTTTTTTTAAGAAACACTAGCTGATGGTAGCAGTGCTATCTAAACTAATAACAGTTACCCTCTTTGGGTAATTACCTTTTATTAGAAAGCTTAGGAGATTAAAATGGAAACCACAGATGTTTTCAGGCAAAGTGAAGATGTATCCACTTTAAATGATTAAAAGGAAATGGCTCTTTACCCAGGTGACCTTTCGTTGCTGATGTGTATTGGCTTGTGCTGTGTTTGTAATGTTTAAGTAATGAGGTAATTGTGTAACATGAGGATCTATTTGTTTGGGACATTGACTTCCCAGTATCACCAAAGTCAAAATTCTGGACATAAAAGGTGAAATTATTTTTGCTAAAAACTGCTTCTTTGGTGGCTACTCATTACCAAAGTATCTATCTTTTCTAGTAGTTGAAAAAATAATTCAGAATAAGAGCTGTATCTGATCTGTTTTCTAAAAACTGATTAAAAAATAAAGAAGTTAAGCCAGGCTAGATAATCATGTTTGGTTTGTATTTCTTCTATAAATAAGTCTCAACTGAGAAAGGAATTTGGAAAGTGACTGTTAGGTGTGTTCACTTACCGTGTACTCCATAAGAGGATGTCCATGTCATGTAATTCTGTATATGGGCCTACCTCTTTTCACCTGTCTGACGTGTTTGCCCATGAATTTTCTGTGTGTAAAATTAATTTCTTTCCAAGTTCTATTAAAAATCTGTTGAAGTTGACGCATTACTTTATGTATTGTGAGAGAAATTCTTTTGATGTCCAAACTACAGAAACATTCCCCAGCTTTGACTGCCAGTTCCTGAGGTTAAAGATGGCAAAGGAATGGAGACTATAACCCCGCATGCTGTGTGGTTTGCATTGTTAACCCAAGTTTGCTTGTCTGTTTCCTAATTCAAACAGAGCGTCAGAAGCCATGATGCATGTAGTGTGTGTGTACTGCAGCTGGAGTGGGCCCCAGACCAGGTATTTATAGACACTGCCTAAGCCTTCCATCAGTCGTCTGTGGTCTATATCTGCAGCAGTTTTGGAACTTAGCGTCCGTCATTCACCATTTCACCTTGTTTAATCTGGTTACAACTAGCCTGTATATATGTTTGTATGTTAGCATACATACACATCTAAACATAATTTCTTATTTAAAATTTTATCCATTATTAGAACAGTCCAAGGGGAAAATCCCAGAAAAGAAATGTCCATCTAACTGACCATGGTGAATTTCAAATCAAGCATGTCAGCCTCACAGGCCTTTGTTGGATAACTCATCATTTAGGGCTTTCATAAGACCTGAAAACTGCAAGTTCTTTTTGCACATTACTGCACACAACTACCTAGAGCTATAGAGCGGTAGAAATTTTCATTCTGTTGAAGAAGAAATGGAAACAGGCCAGGTGACTTGTGCAGGGTCACTAAGTCAATAATAAAGGTGGGACTGGCATTTTATACTCCCAGCAATGAGAGCTGAGACCCTGCTTTTGCCTCTCCCTGGCCGGACCGATTTCCCCACCCTCCCTCTATTTCCCTGCAGTGTAAAGGTGGCCATTGTCAGCCTGAGTATATTGGCTAATACATCAAGAAGAGGAAAATCGGTCTTCTAAACTATCAACCTTGGACTTTATAGGGATTTGCAGGCTGGTTGTAATGAGATACATGGGACTTAATTTCTTCTTTCTTTTTCTTGAAAGGCTGGGTCAAAAGCAGGCATAGTTTAATTATTCTTAATATCCATTGTCCTCATCGTCTTCTCCTATCTGATGGTACTGACCCAGTCCTCCCCTGCATTTAGGACTTAGGCCAGTGAAACTGACCCTCTCAGCTATAGGAGGATGTATGCTGCTTTTGTAGTGAGTACAAAATACACTCAGACCCTGTTCACCTTGACCTCACCCAGTTGTTACAGCTGTCATATCAGTTGCCAGAAGGCCATTATCATTCTGCCCCCAGCCCATGCTGTTAACATGGATATTTCACTACAATGCGTCTTTCCTGTTCACAGTAACTCAACATTGAATCTTTTTCAGAGTCAGCCTTAGAGATTGACAAGTAAAACTAATAACTGTTTTTAGACTCTAAGGGATATGGTTTGCACTGAGATAAGTGCTGTTTTCCTGTTTACCCCTAAACTATAAGTAAGACTGTTTCATAGAAGCCTGTCACTCCCTGGCATAGTGCTTCATCGTCTCGTGCTGTTAACCAGTGTTGTGTCAGAATGATCTAGAGCCATCTGAACTGTAACTGCATTGCTTCATGACTTCTTAAGTCAAGATCAAGCCCCCACGTTGGACACTAATGTTGAGCATGAAGCAACTGAGTTGTATCTGCCCTAATAGATTGTATTGTGAAGTCATTTTTGTTACCAGCCTTTGACTTTTGAAGATTGTATAATAATTGCATAGAAGACAGTTTTTAACTGGATCAATGGCAAAAGGAGAGTTGGAACCTATGTTTAATGACAGCATGTTTACACTGAGGTAACGTTTGACCCTGCCATCTTGTGTGACTGGTCAGAAAGCTACAATGGGTCTATTGTCATTGCCTATTGAAAACTATCTCCCTCCACTGCCTGAACTACCTCCACCCCCACTCCCTTGCCCTTAACATACTTAAGTGTTCTTACTTAGTTATACTGTGTTCATGTGATAATCTTTTTATTGGTAAGATGATGATTGGGATTTAATCTGTTTGGTCTTTAGCTTTACCTTTGTTCTCACAGTCAACGCTCACATAGTTTTATTGTTATTTTGGGGAAGTTTGGATAGAAATAAATAGAATGTTTACCTCTCTGTCTTGTGGAGATCCCCAAGCATTACATTCTTCTTCCTCTTTATAAGTCCTGCTCTGACCCAGATGATATGCCTGGTTTAGACTTGTCATTTATAACCTCAGTGTTCACATCTGAAACACTGAAAGTATCTTGGCATGAGAATCATTCTAGTCAGAGAGCTTCAGAATTTGTAATGTGCTTAAGAATTACCGGAGGAGCTTATTGGAAATGCAAGTTCCTAGGTTTACTCCCAAGAAAGTGTCCCAAAATCTGCGTGCTTAGCAAACATCCCAGTGATTTTAGGACAAGTGGTGGAGAGAACACACTGGGGAAAGTATCCCAGGGTTCTGAACTCACAAAGAATAAAGGTACTGAAATGGCCTTCAGTCTTGAGCACAAACCAGCCATCATGTGTATGTTTATTAATGATACTTAAATAGTGCAGTATGCATCTTTTATTAACATTCCTACCTCTTATTTTCATGCTGTGATGTTAAATTGTCTACCACAGTGGGAATGGTTCCTGTGTAATATAAGCAAACCCAAGTTTAAGACCTGTCCTATCGTGTTTAGATTTGTATCCTCTGGTAATTCAATGGCCTTCATAACCTGCTGATCTCTTTTCCTCTCCCTTTTGTTCCATGTAGAGAAAAGTGGTGAAGAAACTACCTCACTGGGAATGTCATCGTTACCAACTTCAGATGGATTTAACCATCCGGCCCGTCCTTCAGGACAGAGTCCTGAGATTGGTAATCCTGCGGGTCTCGCTCACTCTGTCTCTGCTTCAGTCTGCCCCATCAAGCCCAGTGACCCAGACAGCATCGCACCGAACGCTGTGAAGGCCTCAAAGGCTACCACTGAATTCCAGATTCCCTCTGAAAAGAAAGAGCCTCTTCCTCTGCAGGATCTCTCTGGTCCTGCTTCTCCAGCAGACTGGAGTTTGGCTGTGCCCTGGCAGAATTCACCCGAGGAAGCCACTGTTGCAGATAATCTGGAGCCGTCTCCTGCTGAAAGAAGCACCCAGAGCCTCAACTCTCCCCTCCACCCAACACAGGAAGTGTCTGTCACAGCGACTAGGATGCAAGAACCACAGAGGTTTCTAGGTGAAAAGGGTTGGCATCCAGAATGTCAGACTCTGAGTCAGGTGAATGGCCTTCAGCAGCAGGAGGAACCAGAGAATGGACAGCATGAGGTTGAGCAACAGAATGTGCCACATGACCAAGAACATCTTTGTAACAAGGGGGACCTTGAGCTTCTTGGAGAAAGGCACCAGAATCAACCAAAAAGTGTGGATGTGGAAGCTGCAATGAAAGGAGACCGGCTGCAGCAGAATATGGACCTCCCAGGTGCACAGAGCAGGCTACCCTCAGGGTGCTCTGACTGCTCCAGTTCAGAAACACTTATGGAAGTAGATGTAGTTGAACAGCCCCTACCGGCAGGCGGCCAGAATGCCAATGTCGAGAGTGTCAGTGCATCTGATCTCACCTTAGATAATCCCTTGATGGAAGTGGAAACATCAAAATGCAACCCTTCATCTGAAATCTTGAGTAGTTCCATTTCCTCTCAGAATTTACAGCTCCCAGAAAGTAATGTGGAAATGTCTGGAACAAATGCAGACACTGGGAATTGCTCCCCCGCTGTAAGTCTCTGTGGCAGTTGTCAGCCCTCTGTGGAGTCAGTAGAGGAATCTTGCTCCTCCATCACAGCAGCCTTGAAGGAACTTCAAGGACTTCTGGTCACTAGTAGTAAACCAGCTTCAGAAATTCCATCTGAAGAAGTTATCTGTCAATCAGAAACCGTAACTGAGGGCCAAACAAATCTGGGGGTCCTTTCTGAAAGATGGATCCTGAGTGAACAGTGTTCACAGGTCTCCTTTCATCAGGCCACATCTGTTTCAGTAAAGACAGAAAAATTAGTAGACACTTCAGCTGGCACTGGAATGGAAGATACAGAAGATGTTAACTTCAGGGGTCCAGCTGATGGCCTAGTAACTGACTCGGAAGGTGTCCCCCGGTCAACAGAATCACTAAATGAGAGTTCTGTCATTCTAGCCTCAGCTAAAACGTCTAATCAATTACACTGCACCTTAGGTGTAGAAATTTCACCAAAACTTCTCGCAGGTGAGGAGGATGCACTCAATCAGACTTCGGAGCAAACTAAGTCCTTGTCATCAGATATCATATTGGTTAAAGATTTGGGTCAGGACACACAGAATCCAGTGACAGATGGGCCTGAGACCAGAGAAGATGTCTGTCCTGAAGCTGCAGGGCCACTTGTTGAATTTGAGCCACCTACCAGCTACCCATCATCAGGCCCCTCCATCCTCCCACCATTACTTTTTCCTACTGCAGACATTGACCGGATTCTCCATGCCGGCTTTACTTTGCAGGAAGCTCTTGGGGCTTTGCAACAAGTTGGTGGAAATGCAGACCTTGCACTTCTTATTTTGCTAGCAAAGAACATTGTAGTTCCTACATAACCATGGAAAAGTGGGCTAGAACATACTCCATTCCCTTGAAAAAAAAAAAGCTATTATACACACATACACACACTCACCACATATACAGTATATGTACTAGTAGAAACCTGCAAGCAGAATGTTGAGCCAGATTTTTTTAAAGATTTTTTTTCAGCCAAAGTAATTTATGATCTCTTGTCTGATGAATTTGTCTATTAGTTAAAATTTGGGCCTTTTTAAATGTAATGGCAGTATATGTATACAAAAGCTTTTTATTCTCATTAAGATGATGTATTCTGGAATAAAATTGATGGCTTTGTGTTTAGCATACCATTTTAGAATGAGAGTGAGTCTTTGAGAAGCAGAAGCCCTGAGAAATCCCACCACCCATGCAGCTAAGAGCAGCTCAAGTTCACACTTTGGCTGTGTCTATACCACAGGCAAGGTATGGCTTGTTGGTTCCATTGTCAATTTACAAACTTTTGATCACATAGTTTGGGTGTTCGGAATTCTACCCAGTGCTCTGTGTATTATGACTCATCAGTTGTAACAGGAAAATTGAAGAATAATTGAATAATATTGCCTGGCGTGGTTTGTGGTTAGGATTTGACATTTTAAAAGGATGAATCAGGAGGGTTTAAAAGTAGAATTACTTTGTACATCATAGGCTGCTGCATGGATTGCCACCTTGGATGGGGTATTATAGGGGAATTGACATTAGAGTGAAACATGGTGCTACCCAGATTAAAAAAACAAACAAACCTGGAATTCCATTTGCAAATGTCTTGGTGATGTTTCAAGAACTGTGAGTGAAAAATAGTGACCTAAACACTGGAATTTACTCGCGTGGGTTTGCTAGCATTTCACTGATCACACTTCAACCCTCAATGACAAATGATGATCTTAAGTCCAGTTAATGGGCTGATTGTCAGCATTGTATTTCCTTTCTAAATCCATCTTCTGGGAAGTTCTACTAAAGCTCAGTTTGAGCTGTGATCTGAGTGAACTAGTGAAGTGTGAACCGTGCCACTGGTTTGTCATGGTGCTTGGAAGGTCCGTCTGTGGGAGTGTGCTTCATGGCAATAGAAATAAATAGTAATGGCAGTTTCTGACTCAAGTGGCCTTTTACTAGATGGTTGGTAGTGTATTCCATCCCCTTCTTTTCTCAGGAGTTTCTTTTATTAAACAAGATTCATCACATTTGTGTTTACCATGTCAAGTCAGAGTGGGGCATAGTGTATAGAGGTATTTATTGTGGCCTTTTACTAGATGAGGACTAGCCCTTGGAAATCACTGTCCTGTGGGCCCCACTGTGCAATAATGCTACTGGAAAGACATCTGCTCTTTTCTATACCTAGAAGGAATCTGAAATCTTGTTTTAATTGAAAAGGATTTTGAGCATGATAATTCCCAATTCCGGTTACACTTTGCAACGTGTTTGAAACAACCTTTGAAATGGTGATTTGTGAACTTAGTGTTAAGTGATTTTGTCTAAAGTCTGACTCTCTTTAAAAGCTTATTCTTTACATCAAAATTCAAGTCATTTTAGCACAATCAAAATGGAGGCTCATATCTCAGGAGTTTTTGAAATTTTAATTTGGGGCTACTTCATGCATTTCTCTTGTACCCTGTTCCATCTTCTCTTGGCTGTGCTGTTTGTGTGTGTGTTAGGAGACTTTAGTAACGTGATGGAACATCACCTAGATCCGTCACGATCCTCTGAAGTCAGGATTGTGACAAGTTGTAGTTAACTGTTTTCAAGAGGGCGCTCAAAACAACAGGCTAGCCAGATTGTCTTCAAAATGTCCTTTCAGACAATCATGCTGCAGACCCTCTTGCCGGCCCTACACCAAAGATGTACGATGCACTAGGAAACTGCTTGTAGGGTTTCTGTCCGCCACCTCCGAGAGCTGTGACTGTAATGAAGTAGTTAGTGCTGTGATTGGGGCAAAATCGGTGGCTGTGCAAAGGGTTCCTTATATTTGCTTTGTGGGTTTATAAATCTTTAGGGCCACAGAGTGGTGGGTGGGGTGGAACTTAGCAATGACAAGAAGGCCTATGTGAAGATGGGCCTCACACTGTTCTGTGAGCAGGTGGCATGCACCGCTCAGAGGCCTGGCCACTGTCTTTTCACAGTGTGGGGGCTGGGGGATCAGTCCCAAAGATGGAATATGGAAGATTAGTCCGGAAAAGGTTTCATTGCAATAGCCTTTAAGTGTATGTGTATTTATGATTAGGCCTGTAGGTGTCCATGTATTCTTGCTAGGAATACTTTGAATGAATTTAACCCAAATATCCTTGTCCTTTTCCATCATTTATTTTCCAATGTATAATTGCTTTTTATTTTTAAGATCTTATTTCCTGTCCATCATTTTTTATGCAAGTTAGGTTGTTGATATTGTGAGGGTTTTGAGTCATTTGTAAGTTCAGAAGTTCTAGAGTGCGACACTAGTGAACCTTCACTGGCAGTTTTTATTCCAAGTGCAGAAATTAGAGATTAACTTCTCTAGGAATCAAATAAAATCATTGTGAAACTCCTTTGGTTGCCAGCAGAACTGGTAAGTGCCAGCCCGACCAGTAATGGGCCCCTTTACTAGGCGGCTCCTTCACCATTACCAGTCGTGGACAGTGGTCTGATTAGTGCTCACCTCCAGGGCTGGTCTGTTTGTTCACCAGAGAGGAGAAGATTTTTATGTATAACTTCCGCATTTCTCCTGAAGCTGGTTCCTGTGTGTAAAAATGTGTTTGGTAACCAGACACCTATATCTACGTTACAGATTTTGCCCATTGAAGGTGATAGGAATTATTTCCACTTGTACCTGGTTAGGCCCCCAGACGTCAGCCAGTAGCCTTCATCCCAGAGTTTGGGCTTTAGCCATAAGCATAAAGATTACCAATTGCTTGGCGAAGGGAACTGGATAGATGGTGAGTGTGTGTTAAGACTATTTTGCCTTGCAGCCTACCCCACGTGTTTCTCCTTAAAATACTTACCCAGCAAGAGGGTTGCATAAAATGGAAAGATACATGAGGCTTCATGTCACTGATTTTATTAGAACCATTTCCAGTGGAATCTGCCTGTTCTTAGCACTTCTGTCTCTAGTAAAAGCCATACAAATGTTGGTTTAACTGCCAGCTCTAGTGTATATATATACATGTGTGCTTGACAAATATCCTACAGTTAACTTTACATAGATTAAAAAGCAAACAGTTTTCATATCTACAGATATATTCTTCACTTGTGGCTTTTACCCCCCTCTGTATATACAAACAGCCTTACAACTAAGTGGCCAGGAATTGCAGTGCTTTTTGATTTCTTGTCTTACCTGTTTGACACCTGCCCTGAGGGTAAACAGGATACTTGAACTGTTAAATATTCCAAAGTTGTTATCACTGGTAACATAATAAGAGAAGCTGATTGGATGATGCCTTCTGCCATTCTCTAGCACAGATTCCAGAAAGCCACATTTCTCCTTTGAATTTGGTGACTTCGTGTACTCTGTGGCTTCACTAGAAAAAAGTTTCCCATTCCCATCCTAGAAGATGACTGTTTCCTTTCGTGTTAGGAGTTCCATAAAGTAAAATAGCTTTTCCTCTGAAAGAATTTAAAGTGCCAGTTCCTCTTAACAAAATAGATTCAGAACATGTCCTTGAGAACGGGAAATGTAAAACCATGGCTCAAGTTCTGTTCCTCAGTGGGCCCTCAGTAGGTGTCACTAGGAGTTCATTGCATAAACTAAAGAACTTCAGGTGAACCTTCTCTTGTGCCTTGGTTTTTCCAAATAGCAGAGGCATCTACTTTTGGTGGGAAATGAAAAGTATGAGGGCTCCATTGAAAGTGGCCCTCCTGAAGATAGGGGGCACACATGGGCCGGCCTTGAGGCTCACCTTTAGTGTTGATTCAGAATGGTCCTGCACCAAGTCATTTGGTAGAACTAATTGAAGAGAGAAGGTATTCAGAAATCGGTTTATGCTGGGGGGGTGTAGGAGGGTAGAAGTACAAGTAAATGGAAGATGACCCTTGCATGCAGGGTAGAGACATGATGGAGATATGGGTGTGCTGTAGCATCCTCCCCGGTTCCCCCGAGCGTGGCTGCCCAGAACACTGACCATCAGGGCCAACAGGACTTAGAGGGTGCTGCCAGTCTTGCTGTTCTACAGCAGCTGAGTGCAATAGGTGAAAATGGGGACCTAGAGCAGGACATGCAGCAAGCAAGGGTGTGGGACCGGTGATGGGCAGCATTTATAAGAGGATTCAAGGCTCTAGCAAACCTTTCTATGGGACAGTTCCATCAAAAGGACAGTCTTAAACTCATTATTTAAATGTCATCACGTATGTTGTGATCCTGCGGCATACAGGGAGGATTTCTGGACTTTTACTAGTGATTGGGTTTCAGTGAGTTATGTATTGGTGATTGGTAACCTAAACCCTCTGGGGGCTCCAAGGTGAGAGGCTATAGCTGATACGTTTTAGGACACAATCTTATAGAATGAAATCTGCAGAGAATGGTTCAAGAGTATAGAAGTTAGAAAATATTTTTTGCCTAAAACTAAGCAAACTACAAAAGACCTGGAATGGAGGCGTAGAATACAAAATTAGGATAATGCTTACAGAAATATATCCCTTTAAATATGTACCATATGGTTTTCATTAGCTGACTTGAAGGGGCATGCTGGGTTTTCCCTGGGAAATACATGTCTGATGGGAAATGATGCTGTTTACCAGGAGTTTGTTTTACTCACAACCTTGAATGAATGCATCTGTGGCTTAACGAAAGGCAGACCCTTACTAGTTTCCTACTGGAGGCAGCAGTTGGGTTTATTTCTAAATCCCTCTGGTCTGAGGTTACCTGATGCTGACCAGACTTTTTCCTTCCCTGAAGGCTCCACAGCTGAGTTAATGCCACCCATCTGTGACCTTGCCCTCTGCGTGATTATATTTCCATTCTCTGTTCTTTTGTCATTCTTTTGAGATAGTTCTGGTGATAAACTCAGAGCAATTCAGCATAGTAATTGCATTTGCTTTTTTCACTGTGCACCTCTGGTGGAAGTTAATTTCCTCATTTTAATTCTAAATCTCATCTTCATGGCAAGTTGGGCCAATGGCCTTTGCACTCAAGGTTTGTTTACCAGTTGTGTAGCCATATTTGGCAAATCTGAGCAAGTAGACATGGCTCTTTTCCCCCTTATTTGTTCTTGATATTGCTCATGCTTTCCTGACTTTGCTTTACACTTTGAGACTACTGCATCTTAGAAGAACTGGGCTGATTGGCAAAATAGGCTTGCCAATAGCTCAGTCTCTCCCAGAATGCTTTGGTTTTGAGAGTTGGGAAACTGAGAACTTAAGGGAACCACACTCAGGAATCCCAAAGTTGGTTGCGTTGTGCCATTGGTTTAGGGGCTGGACATAGGACCAGTCTGTAGCTGAGTGAATTAGATGCATTTGGGTTTGAGTTTGTGTCACGTAATGAAATGTAAGTCAGCCCTAAATAATCAAAACACTTTCTTTTCTTTTTTTTAATAGGAACTTTCTGAAGAAAAGTGATGTGTAAAACATTTGATATTTAAACAATAAAGTTTTTATCATAAGACTCTTGTTTGATCAATTTCTTTTCAGTGGAGATGGTTAATGAATTTGTATCCCTGTTTCTATCTCCCTGCCCCTTTAAATAACTTCTTCCCAGGCTCTGTGACTTGCCATGTGCCTGAAACCCAGAAGAAATGGGCATCTCCACGCCATTAAAGTAACTTGCAGATAAGCACTGCAGGAGGGTGGCTGTTGCTGTTCATAAGGTGTGCGTTGTGGCTCCACATAGGCAGTCGATGCAAAGTAATAGAAACAGCACTGGCGATGGGATACTGTGGTTCAGGCTGGTCTCCAGAGCCAGGCTGCTTGGGTGTGAATTTCAGCTTTGCTACTTACTAGCTATGTGACTGGGTAAGTTACCTAACCTTTCGATGCCTCAGTTTCCTCTTCTGTAAAATTGGGACAATTGGAGGTCACAGGGATTAAACAATACATATAAAGTCCTTAGGAAATTACTGGCACATTGTAAGTGCTCATTAGATATTAATTAGTATCCATTGCATCACGCGAGATTTGAGGATGCTAAGGGAAATTTTCAGAAGTCGGGCAACTCCAGCAGTGATGTGTGGGAAGGGAGGGCTCAATCACTAAGGGCCCTCGGCTACCAGGTTTCTGCCCTTTTCAACAATGTGGCTTCCAAGATTACTTTGGACGTCAGCATGTAGCTGACATACCAGGAAAAGAGAATGAGGGTTCATGGAAGTTTTTATACCAGGCCTGGAAGGGGTGTTCATCACTTCTCTACTGCATTTCACAGGCTGGAACTTTGTCGCATGGCCATGCCACACTGCCAGGGAGGCTGTGAGGTCTGATCGACTTGTGTGCCCGAGATGAGTACAGTATGGTGGTCAGCCAGCAGTCCCCTACCTTCACCTCAGGCATGGAGAGCGCCCCACACCCCACCCAAGCATGCCACAGACCTCCGTCTAGAATCTTCTGCGATGCCCTGTTCTCGCTTGTGGCTTTTTAAGGTCTGACAAACAACTGGAGGTACCTTAACTGCTCCTACCCGTATACAAGTGTTGGCGCAGGGACAGACAGCTGCAGTAGGAACTCATAAAAGTACTAACTTATCAGCTTGTACTGCATCCCTGCTCACAGCTGTTGGTATGGGAATGGGATTAAGCAAATTCATCAATCCTTATCTAAGGCTTTTGTCCTTTAAAAACTTAGAGCTAGGGTGGGTTGGTTCCTCCTGGAAAATTCCTAAGGCCAACATCATTTTTCCTGTTCTGCCTCAGGAATCTGAAGTGCCCTGAGCCCCAGATCCTCCACCCCCAACTGCTCCTCTCACCGTCTTCCCCGGAGAAATAAAGGGCAGCTTCATCCTTCCGGGTTGCTCACTCTCAAACCTTGACAACTTACACGCCCTGCATCCAATCTACCCTAAGTCCTGTTGGCTCCACTTCAAAGTCTATTCGAAATCTGATCCTTTCTAGAGCCCTGGTCCCTGGCAGGGGCACCTCTCAGCTGGGTTATTGCAGGAGGCCTCCCTGCTCCTGCCCTTGTCTGCCTGCATTCCCTGAGAACAGCTGCCAGCTCGAGCTGGGACCCTTCAGTGAATCCCATCCCAGAGTGAAAGCCACAGTCCTTACAGTGCCCCCAAGGCCGCTATTCTGCCCTAACCTCCTGCTTCCCTCCCCCTGACCCTGCTTGACCTCACCATGCCCTCACCGCGCTCTCTTTCCCCGGGCACCTTCATGGCTTTTTCTCTCGCTTCCTTCAGGTCTTGACTCAAATATCACCTCAGTAACGTCTTCTCTGGCTACTTTTTCTAAAATTGTAGCCACCCACTCCTCTTCCTGTGTCACTTCCCTTATTCATTTTCCTCAGCAGTGACCCCACTACCCAACACACTCTGCATGTCATTTCTGACCCAGTTTATTGTCTTCCTCCCCCATTAAAACATAAGGTCTATGAGGGTAGTCCTTTTCACGGCTATATCTCCAGTGCCTGATGCCTAGTAGGGTTTTGAATGAATAAATCCATGAACATCATTACACTGCCTCAGTTTCTCAGCTCAAAGGCAGCTAAGGGTGACATAGCAGAACTGGGTTGTTGAGGTCAGTTTGCAGGTTTTAGGGGTTCTAGACCAGGATGGCTGTTGAGTTTGAATAATGTAGGTTTTATTTTTCTTCTTTTAAATATATTTTTTAATTGATTTCAGAGAAGGAAGAGGGAGAGATAGAAACATCAATGATGTGAGAGAATCATTGATTGGCACACTCCCTACTGGGGATCCAGCCCACAACCCGGGCATATGCCCTGACCAGGAATTGAACCAGTGACCTCTTGGTTCCTGGGTCAATGCTCAATCGCTGAGCTGCACCCCACTGGGCTAATGTAGGTTTTAAAAGACAGATGACATTCTGAGGTTAGTAAGCTTGCAGGCATCCATGTGAAGTAGTACTTTTTTATTATATCCAAATGTAAGACTAATTTGAAATATCGATGAACTGCACTTCTCTGCTAATGGTTGTACAGACTGGCCATAGTTCTTCATCCACTATCTTCCTAAAATAGGCCCAAATCAGGTACAACGAGAAGCAACCTTCTATCGGTCCCTGGTGGTTGTTTTTTCTGGCCTTTTAATTCTGTAGATTGCTAAAAAAATTTCTGCATCCCTTTGAGTTAAAAAATTCATCAGAGCCCTGACCGGTTTGGCTCAGTGGATAGAGCGTTGACCTGCGGACTCAAGGGTCCCGAGTTCGATTCCGGTCAAGGGCATGGACCTTAGTTGCGGGCACATACCCAGTGGGGAGTGTGCAGGAGGCAGCTGATCGATGTTTCTCTCTCATCGATGTTTCTAACTCTCTATCCCTCTCCCTTCCTCTCTGCGAAGAAATCAATAAAATATATATTTTTTAAAAATTCATCAGAAGATATTAATTCAATAAACATTGAGTCATGTGCCAGATTGCATGAGCCGAGCCAAGATGCGTATTCCCATTACAGCGGTCCCAAAGAGACATTACAGCGGTCTCTTTGAAGAATGATGACAAACAAAATGCTAGGTAATACTAAATTCTATGATGAAAATTGACTAGATTGGTATGATGTAAGGAACTAGAGAGTATTTAATGTTGAGTAATCAATGAGAAGGTCTTCTGAGAAGCTAACCTTTAACATTTGAGTGCCAAGTGAGGATTTGAGGTGTTTTATGTTAGGCTGAGGGGCACAAAGAGGCCTAAAATTTCCATAATTTATAACCACAAAAGTTTTTATCTTGCCTATGTGACAGTCCAAGGCAAGTGTTCCTGTTTGATGGGTAGCTCTCCTCCACGTAGTGATTCAGGGAACCAGGCTCTTTACATCTTGTAAGTCCGACATCCTCTTTGCTTCATCCTACCTGGTAGCTAGAAGAAGAAACAGCATGGAGAAGCCCAGCCTAGAAGTGGATCACATTATTTCTGTTCATGCCGTGCTGGGGAGAACTTGGTAGTAGAGTCTTGCCTACTGCTAAGGAGGCTGGGAAATGTAGTCCAGCACTGCCTGACTACAATGCCATCACTGTGGAGAGAGCAGATTTGGGTGAACAGCTAGAGGCCCTCTGCCATGCTGTGAAGACTATGCCAGCAAAGGCCCTCAGATGTGTGCACACTGGCGTGTTTGAGAAACAGAAGGTTGGTGGGGACTGGCACACACCAGCAGAAATTAGGACATGAGTCAGGGAGGGAAGCTGGATCAAATCAGCTATGGCCTTGGAGGCCAGAGAAAAGAGTATGGATGTCAGTCCAGATGCTACGACAGGAAGCTGTTGGAGGCTTTTAAGCCAGGAGGTTGGGTGATATCCCAATTTTCACCAACCCCATCTTGCTGACTGGACAGTAATGAGGAAGGGACTGATGTTCAACATTTTAAAATAAAATCACCTAGAGTCAGGCCCACGAGGCTCAGTGGTTGAGCGTCGACCTATGAACCAAGAGGTCAGGGTTTGATTCCAGGTCAGGGCACATGCTCAGGTTGCGGGCTCGATCCCCAGTGTGAGACCTGTAGGACGCAGCTGATCAATGATTCTCTCTCATCATTGATGTTTCTATCTCTTTTTCCCTCTCCCTTTCCCTCTCTGAAACCAATAAATATTAAAAAATAAATAAAATCACCTAGATTAAAGCTGCCTTGTTTTGGTTTACTCAGTCCTAGAGCTGTAGATTGCACTTGCAGAACCACTGCTGTTACGTACAACCAGCCCCTCCTACCTCCCTCTCTCAGATGGGAATCAGCTTCACAAGCCTGTTGGACAGTAAATATAGGGTGTCCCCCAAAAATGTATACACACATTTGAATAATTATAAAGGCAGTGTTTATGAAAATACATTTCAGCCCTAGCTGGTTTGGCTCAGTGGATAGAACATCAGCCTGCAGACTGAAGGGTCCCGGGTTCGATTCTGGTCAAGGGCACATGCCTGGGTTGCAGGCTCGATCCCCAGTGGGGGGGCATGCAGGAGGCAGCCAATCAATGACTCTGTCATTGATGTTTCTAATCTCTCTCCCTTCCTCTCTGAAATCAATAAAAAATATTTTTAAAAAATACATTTCATTTTCAAAACTGAGCTTTCAGCTGTTACAGTGTGAATACATTTTTGGGGGACACCCTATATTTATTCCCTCCTTTGGGAACAAATATATTTGCCTTGAGTTGGGGGGAAAGAGAGGAATTAATCCTTTAAACCATCCTGCACCTTTTTTTATAGTCCTGTCCAACGACCTTTTAAGGATGTGAGGATGAAGGTGCCAGAATTATTTTCTGTTTCCTCTCTGAGGCATAACACATCTTTGGGAAGAAGAGTAAAAGAGACGGTGGGCCAGGGCTATGGTCTCTCTAGGATCTTGCCTTTCTTCCCAACTTCTTCCTTCATCGGATGGAGTTCAGCAGTCGGAGACTTAGGTGAGGACAAAATTAAATGAAGAAGGAGGAGGAAGAGGAGAAGAGGAACAACAACAATGAAATCATTGTTCCTGTGTCACTGATTTGGAAACTAAGACAGTGATTTGCTCGAGGCC